TAAATTTTGCACTTTTTGAATGTGGTAGGGATAGCGATTATCTCCTTTTACAGTTCGCCAAATTGTTTGTGGTGACACTCCCAATACAGCCGACGCATTCCGAACGCTGGTCTCAGGATGATTGTCAAAATGTTGTAAAATACGATTCCCTGCCTGCAAATCTCTTCGTAACGCTGCTTGAAATCGGTTGTTTTCTTGTCGAATTGAAAATGATCCAGTCTCTCGCAATCTATTAAATGTCAACATAAACACTCTTCGGTTTGGCACTCTTCTGTTTGGAAATCGTCGTGCATATTCTCGCACCGCCTTTAAAGCATTACCGTTGCAGAAACCGTATACAAAAACCATATCAGCATATTCACTATTAGAATACGTACGCGGCATATTGCAAAAGACAAAATTCATCTACTGTTAAAGGCTTTCAAAGAGCGACTGACAAATTCATAACAGAAAGTGGAAAATGTAATCAAATATGTCGGTGCTAGATATGGCAAGAAATGTAAACATTTTTTTTCGATTTCTCTGAAACGGAGCAAAAACGAGCATATGTCTATAGGACTTTTTTTCTTAGTTTTTTACTCCTCTACACGCTCCCGAAGTTTTGCCATTTAATTTGGAAACACCCTGTATATACAGCCTCTTAAAAATACGCTCAATTTAGTAAAAATATAACAATAAAACGGAAATCAATGTAGTAATTCCATTAACATAATCCGTACCATGACAATTTTTTACTTGTCCACCAGGCGTGAATCACCGGTGACTCACAGCACTTTTATTTATGTTTATATTATATTTTTTTAATATTTCTTAATAGTAAAAACTAGAAAAATTATAAACAAGACTTAATGTATCATTCACAATCACTGTTATAACTTGGCAGAGTCAAAAAAACACAAGCATAAGATGTAGCGTCCAGGACGAAGAGTCCTAAAATGGAATTGACAAAAATAATTGCTGTAAACATATTTTTAAAGGGAGTAGAAAGATTTGGACGGCCGAAAATTGTAAAATACGAATGTCGTTCGTGAATAACAGACATGTTGTGTGAATAAACATACATAAATTTTCTTTTTAGCATGTTCTTAATGCTTTCTTAATGAATAAAATCGGCCGTAAAAGTTCACAAAATATGAATAACTGTGGGCAATATAGACAATTAAAGCCGATTGCACACTGCTCTGTTCTTGCCACGATAACTTAAGAACGGCTGCAGATATCAACTCAAATTGTTTTTCTTTTTTTTTTAATAAAGATAAATTTTTCCATAAACTGAAGCTATTTTTGCGCGCGAAAATTTATTTTTTAAGCACGTTTTAACAATAAACAATTAGAATTTTTAAACATTTTCTATTTTTCACCGCCATTTTTGTAATCTTCACGTTTCTTATCAGATTTTAGGTTTAATCTATAGACGAGAATCTCACCAATAAAATGGCACCAAAAAAATTGAAAAATTCCCACTCGTTTATTCGAAATCGTGGCAAGAACTGCAGTACACAAATCGCGCAGTTGCTTTTAATATTGCCCTCAATTATTTATATTTTGTGGTTATTTGTATTTTGTGGACTTTTGCAATTGATTTTACGCACGCACGCACGCACGCACGCACACGCACACAAGCAACTACGCATAACATTGTATTCCCTCTCCGCTGCTTTTTCTGGCCGGTTGCTCGATTCCGCGGCGAACTCGCGTTTGCGGAAATAAGCGTGCTTTTTCTCATTGTACCGAAACATAGATCTGAAATACATATTTATCTTATTTTACTCATAATACCAGCTCTCATTATTGCATCTCGCCTCTCCCGCCGAAACCTCTTTTTACGCACCGAGGCGAAAATATCCGACGAGCTACGGCCGAGCATAAAAAATTAGGTAGTTACACATTAGTTGTTAAAAATTTTAACTTAATAATAAAATATAACAAACATGATTGTTAAACGTTTCAATCTTCTATTAGGTTATCTTCAATAACATTAGTTTTTAAATCCAACAAATCAAGTCTAATTACTACATAAATATATGTATTCAAATCATTATAATTATAAATTATGCTTAATTTTTATATGGCAAATTGATAAAATAATTAAAAATTGTGATGAATTCACTCATGTTCTTCGTTTTGTAGTCGATGTGTTACAACTATATTATACAGGGCATTTTAAATAATGCATTAAGATTTCTCGAAAACTATGGTAGATACGGAAAAATGTTTCAAACAAAAGTTATATGGTTCGGAGGGGGACATAATAAGGTACCTTTGGTTTGACCTTGGGTAGCGTCGCCAAGATCAAGATCACGTTGATTTTTTTTTAATGGAACCCCCTATTTTTCATTACATTTTCTTGTAGCTCACCTCGAGAGCTTTTCGAAACACTAATAAAATAAAACTAATAATAGTATAACTAATAATAATATAAACACTAATAATAAAATATTTTTTCATGAAGTATTTTTCGAGTTATAAGTCTCGAAAGTTAACAGTCGGCATTAGCATTACGCAAATTGTCCGACCAACGCAACGGCTAAAACCTCTTGAATGTTATTCAAGATCATGTCCTGGATAACATTTGTCAAGATCAAGGCCTTGTTTTGAAAAGCTCTCGAGGTAAACTACAAGAAAATGTAATGAAAAACAAGGAGTCCATTTAAAAAAATCGACGTGACCTTGATCTAGCCTTGGCGACGACACCCAAGGTCAAATCAATGATACCTTTTTATGTCCCCCTCCGAACCATATAACTTTTGTTTGAAACATTTTTTCGTATCTATAGTTTTCGAGAAATCTTAATGCATTATTTAAAATGGGACACCCTGTATAGATTAATCAGATGCCTTACTTTCTATTATGTGCGTCAGATTTTTATACTTATTTAGATGTCATATCTCAACAATAAGCGTGTTTTGACAGTCATATACACGAGTGCCAAATCCTAATATACATGATTAATATAAAAATTTGTATATTAAACAGATTAATGAATATTATATTAACTTAATTTTTGTTTTTTCGTACCTGTACTGCTGTCAAAAACGTGTACAATTTTTATATATCTTAATTAAGCTTGCTAATGTGATAGAAGAACTTTTTTATTACTTGAATATGTTTATTTGATCGTCCACATCCTTAGATGTCCACAACGTTAGACAAAGAGTGTGAAGGTTAACAATATCTACGTGCTACAGTGTTAGTTATATTGGAGGGGATATGTCTTCTATAATAGGAAGATAATTACAGGGTAAGCGATAGGTATCACTCTACTTCTTAAGTCCTTTTTGTTGTCTTTTTATATATATCATTTCAGATTATGTAATACAATTTATATAATATATAATTTATATAAGATACAATTTATATTACACATAGCTTTTTTATCAATTTATTTGTCCTCTTACTGCTCAATAATTGAATCCACTGAATTCAGATTTTGTACTTCTTTACTTACTGCAGTAACTGCGAGAAAAGCTACTAGAAAAGTTACTAGACAAAAGCCAATATAACTGCCCAATAATCAATAAAGAACTGTATTAAATTTCTACCAGGGAAATAATATCAGAAAGAATTTGTTACTCGCAAAAAACGATGAATGTTAATGAAATAAAGTCAGTATTAATCGTTTCGTATTAATTAATGAAGAGGTACTGTAGCAATAGCAATTACTATATATCAAAAGGTAACGTTATGTTCTGTTTGCACATATATGTGTGTAAATATATGTTGCAATAAAATATTTCTGTACACATACATTGCGTGTTCCTGTGTTTATAAAAA